GTACCAAACTGAATAACTGTTTTTCAATGGTTAAACATCTTTTCTAGTGTATTTTGATTCTTTTTGAAAAATAATGGATTGGCCTCTCAATTCCACAATCATCCTCCTGTAACAACACAGCTCCAATGCCTACGTCACATACGTCGATGGTGATTTTAAAAGGTGTCAGGAAATTTGGCGTGGCTAAAACTGATGTACTAGTTAACGCTGCTTTTAAATTCTCAAGGTCTCCATTTGCATCTTAAGATTTTATCCTGAAGTTAATAGCATTCTGGAATACATTCTGATTCATTTTCCGAGTTGGCTTTATGATATAAATCCTTTACTGTCTAACCTTTCTTTGTAACTCCATTAATCTTTCAGAACTAAACACCTTTGCCTGATCCTCTACATGTTTAGGTTTATCCTTTACCATTTCATCAAACGGAGTGTCAGCTAACTGGACCTCAACTCCTTTGTCTTTCTGTTTTGTTTTCCCTTCTTGTTTTAACTTATGACTGTGGGATCTTGTCACCACACAGTCTGGAAAAATTCCAGGGTATTTTCCTTTTAACTCCTAAGTTTCCTCGTTTTCTTTTGTCTTCTCCGCTACAATGGGCATCACTCCCACCTGTGATCCAGCTATACTGTTTCCAAACTGTATTCCTGGAATAGCTAATTTTTCAGTCACTCCCACTATCGCTTCCCCAGTCTTGATTGGACTTTCTAGCCTTATCTTACACAGGGGAATACTAATTCTCTCTCCCTTTATTTGACAGATTATCGCTCTCTCGGGCAACATTTCAGAAGGAGTGCAAATATTTTCATCTCTTACTATTAGAGATTGACCAGCTCCTGTATCTTTCAATATGTTAACTTCTTTACCTACTCCCACTGTTCTACCTGTGTAAACCCTACCCACACAGGTGGAGTCTTTGAAAAGATAGGGTGCTATCTTACTATCCAGCCCGTGACAGGCTGTACATTCTCCTGCAGCTCCTCGACTTCTCTTGGGATTTCCTTCACTACTTCAACTAATTCCAGTGGTTTAGCCTCTTTTACCACATCCTTTTTCCCAGTGCCTTTCTGAATACACCAGCACTGTGACTTTGTGTGTCCCACCTTATTGCAGTGAAAGCACCTGAGGTCTTTCACCTCTTTTCTCCCGTCTTGGGTTTCTTTTTTCACATGAGATAAACTGTTCCCAGGGTGGTCTACGTTTTTGTTTTTCATTGAAGGATCTCCTTCTTTCCTAATTTCTATCCCTCACGGAATGAAATTGCTGTTGGAAACTAGATGTTGATTTATGCACTAATACATATTCATCCACCATCTCAGCAGCTCTTCTCACTGTTTTAACTTTCTGTTCCTCAACATGAGTTCTTATTATTTCTGGAAGTGAGTTTTTGAACTCCTCCAGCAGAATAATCTCTCTAAGATCCTCATCTGTCCTTTCTATCTTTAATGCTCTCACCCATCTATCGAAGTTGCTCTGTTTAATTCTTTCAAACTCAATATAAATCTGACCTGGTTCCTTTCTTATATTTCTGAACCGTTGTCTATATACTTCTGGCACCAATTTGTAGGCACTCAAAATAGTCTGCTTTACTTCTTCGTACTCACTTGACACCTCCTCTGATAGTGCTGCAAACACCTCACCAGCCCTACCTACCAACTTGGTCTGAATTAACAATACCCACATAGTCTCTGGCCTGTTCATCTGCTTAGCCAATTTCTCAAAGGAAATGAAAAAGGCTTCTACATCTTATTCATTGAACTTTGGTAATATTTTGACACATCTGTATATATCCCTACCAGGCCTTTGGCTCCAATGGGTTTGCTCATCATCGCTCTCCTCCTCATTAAGCCTATCTTCTACCTTCATCTCCATCCTTTTAAATTGACTTTCCTGTTTAATATGCAACTTTCGAAGTTCAAACTCTCTCACTTTTTCCCTTTCTTCTCTCTCTTTTTCTTTTTGTCTTTCCTCTGCTTGTAACCATAATTCAAGCAGTTTCAGTTCCCTTTCCAGTTCAAGCTGTTTCATCTGCAAATGAATTCTAGCCATTT